CACATATGGCATTTTCAACAGAGTTGGAATTACTGAATTATGTCTGTTTCATTTGACATAAATAAGGAGTAATCGTTTCTCTATTTACTTCAATGAAAGTTTGACCAAAATAGTCTATTTTGGAAAACTGGCTTGATTTTGGCTGGATTTAAGTTTAGCCCTTGCAGCATCCAACCTTGAAGGAAGCTGAAATGTTTTGGAAGCCACTCCAGACATGTGCTGTGGTAGAGAAGGAGGCTGCCCAATTCCTTTCCTTAAAGCAATGGGTGTGTGAATGTGCCTGCCAATTTGCTCCATGGAATTTTAAGAAAACTAATGGTGCCATTAATGGATGTCAAGTGTCTGAGGGCCCTGAAGGCAGGAGAGTTAGTGCCTGAGTGATTTCTCCTAGAGAATCCAAAATGAAATCGGAGATTTATCTCATTATCATCATTAGTTGTGTGTCTGAACTTGGGGTCATCTTGAGATGCTCCTGAGTATTTGCAGATTTGCAGAAGAGCAGGATATCTTCATTGCTTTGTGAAAATCAACACATGATAGGAACAAAGTCACCTGCAGAGCAGGCAGGTTAGTTCCTGGGCTTTCAGGGTCTGTTGTTCTGTCCAACTGGTTGATTGAATATCAGTTTACATTTGAAGATGGAGATGGTCAGAGTAGAGGTGAGTCACAGAGTTAGACACTGGCAGCTCCATAAAAGGGAAGAAAAGTGGCATCCTGCAGACCTGAAGTAGCATGACCCCTTGCCAAGGTATTCCAGCACACTGAAGAATTTGTCTCTGTGGAAACATCTACCTTGTTTGTGAGACTGGGCACATCAGGCTGTGCTAGCCCATGGGATTCATATTTCACCCTACTCTTGTGGGTGAGCTGGTTAAGGTGCCTACCAGGTACAGTATCACTTAGTCATTTGAACTTCTTCATAGGCCATGAATTGATTATGGCACTTCAGTTATTCTAGTGCTTGTGACTATCACTTCTCATCATAGATTTACTAATTGTTGTTTTGGGTTTATACATCAGTCTTACAGGCTTAGATAACCTGTGTCTCCTGTAAGAGGGGGATCTGTTCCTGGTACATTTCTAATCTGGTTTTGCTCATTTGTGAATTCACCACACATTTAGGGCTTATTATAAAGCATAGGTGTGGTAGTCAGGAGGTTTTTTAATGCACCAGAAGAAGCAGGTAACTGGATATTACAAGTAAAGAATTACCACTCTGAGACATCAAGTGAGAGACCGTGGGCCAGCCTCTCGTTTCAGTGAGACTGAGCTGTAAACTCTGCATCAGGCATTAGGCATGAGGCATTTTACTGAGTACATGTCTTCTTCTTGGCCTTGCCATTTACCAAATGCTCTCCACTGAACTATACTCAGGGTAGAGTTTCAACTACTTTCATGTTAGACTTCAGAGTTCAGTCTGGACCAACTTGCTACTAACCCAGAGAAAACAGGTTGCTGGCAGAGTTCCAGAAACAGGCCACCAAAAACTTTGAAGTCCGTGGCCATTACATGTGCAATGGTTGTGTGTCTCTCTTTCTATATTAGGCTCAAGAAAGCTTGAGGATATACCAGAGAATTAAAATGTGACTAAGATTTTTCTCAGTGAATTTCATCCATAGCATGGCTTAAAGATGAAGAAAGCTCCTGAGGGCCCAGTGTATCGGGACAACGCTTTGAGGACCATCACTAAATCTGTGATTTCACTCTCCTGTTTGCTGTGACAGAATGATATAAATGTTGATCAGTTCTCATTAGGCCTTAGGAGTTCACACAGGTGGATTAAAATCTAGCGAGTTGTAGTGGTTTATGTGAACAAGCACTCTGAACTACCAATCATTACAAGGGACACGGCTTCCCTTCTTGAAGGGAAGAACTGCGTAATAGAAGGCATGGTACCTGTGCCATCTTAGTTCTGTGTTCTTTCAGGTGGAGTGGAGAGATTCTCTTCTCTGTTACCACTGTCGCTGCTATATCCCAAGAGCTCAGGGCAGCCTCATGTAGGTGCATGCAGTTCTTTGGGTGGTCATCAGGGATGGTGAAATTGGCAGTTTGCAGAGAAATTTTTTTTAAAGTAGAAGTCTAAAGGCCAGGATGTCTGTTCATTTTTAATAGCAGGGTGGAAAAATGAATTTTACCTCTAAAACCCAGAAGAAATACTGTATGAGATCAGAACTGTATTATTCCCCTTCCTCAAAAAATATTGGTTCATTAATTTGAATAGTAGTTTGCATCTCTTCTTCCTGATTTGATAGGCTACTCATATATCCAATCCTGACTTGCCTATTTCTACAATGTCAGATAAGAGTCAATACAAATTATAATAGCTGCTAACTCTCACTTTCCAAAATGTCCAAAATGCAGGTCTTTTTCCCAGGTACCATCATTAGAGTATTCAGTATTTCTGAGCTTACTGTGCACCTGCTAGAAGTCTACAGGGTGTGTCAGCTACCTTTGTGGGGGAGTGCCCCAAGTGTGAGCTCATGGGGTCTCCACATCACTGCCAAGCTTGCTGGTGCCCTGTCAGTGCTGGGGAGATGGGAGAGGGATGTTAACCTACTCTTACTGGCTAAGGATTTCACTCCATACTTTCAGCATAAATCTTCCTTCACTGTGCACCTGATCAGGGGGTCCCAGAGGCCCAAGGTTCTGCTTCAGCTCAGCTTTGCATAGACCATTTTTGCCAGGCTTTTCCAGAGTGCCTAAAGAAAGTCTGTGGGATCCACACTATTTTGCCCCAGTACCCTCCAGACCTTTCTATGGCCCTGCTCTAAAGAATAAGTCACCAGTCTAGATTTAGCCTGTCTCCTTTTGGTGAATTTGTTTTTGGAGGTACTTTATTATGAGGCCTTAGCTTAGACCCTGCTAATCCATGCTTAAACAACTACTCTCTTGTGTGAGGAAAAAGATTGATTCCAATCCCTCTTGTGTTGAGAGTCTCCTTTACCCCATAAAAAGTTCCTGATAGAGATTAATGTGAGAGCGAAATGTGCTATGCAGCTCTCTCTGGCATCGTTTGAAGCCCCAATAAAGGGGATATATGGTGAGGAATAATTTCTAAGTCCTCAGCTAGGGTCATCCAGAGGCCAGACCCTTCCAACATGTAGTTTCATCAAGTAAATGCAATGTGAGGAGCTCCCTTAGACCAGAGTGGAAACCAGGTTTTCCTGAAGTCCTCTCTCCAGGGTAGGTGCCAGAAGCACTATGCTCTGAGGTTTGAGCCATCCTCGAGGAAGATTTAGTGAAGGATTTAGTTTGTGTGTGTGTGTGTGTGTGTGTGTGTGTGTGTGTGTTGTGTGAATGGGAACCAAGAGACACACATGGTAGCCAACTGCTCTCTACCTCTGAGCTACATTCACAGCCTGATTTTTAAGAATTCTCTACTTCATTTGAACATGCATATGTGAAATTATGTATACCTCCACGAGGAAAGCTATTTGCAGGATGATGTAATATGTCACCGGTAACTGGGTAGCTGTGGGGAAAGCTACAAGTGTATCTAACACCTTAACGTAGGTATAACTAGACCTGATTAGGAGCCACATGGTCTCCAGGGTGGTGTATATAAAAGGTGTCTCTTCCCTTAGAGAGCTTTCTGTGCTTGCTGCCAGGCAGAGAACCAGCACCAGACTCCAGTAGCATCAGAGGACTCTGAGAGCTGGTGTGGGTGCTTCCTCTGCTGGGGTGGTGTCCCTCTCCACCTTGCTTATCATGTGCTGTGGCATCTCCACTGTCCTAGTATCCCCTGCATGCCTTGGTAACCTCTTGCTCACTTCCAGCCTCATGCTCATGCCCGTGCCTTTGCAGGACACCTTGGGGACTCTCCTACTTCACAAGCTATCCACACCCCACAGGCAGCCTTTCCCTGTCTCATTTGTTGCCAACTCTCTACCAGGCCTGTCTTTATCAGTGGGTGGAGAAGCATTTGCTTACCCTCAGAAAAAAAAGCATTTAACTACTCCTTTGTCATTGCCATTTATTGAGCAAACATTGGTTGAATACTTGCTGTTCCTTGACTGGTGTTGTGAGAATGAATAGCACACCATCTTCAGCTCCAGGGAGTTCCTACTCTGGGAGGGGGAGACTGATCCATAACAGGCAGCAAGAAAGCCTCCTGGTAAGTGTTTTGCTTGAACAGCATAGAACAGACCCCACATGTCAGTCAGCCTCCGGAGAGGACTGGACCTTAGCTAAAGAGAAAAAAAACAAGTTCCTCAGATGCGGTTCTGTTAGGGTCCCTAGCCAAGACTAAGGGATGGACCACTTACCGGCTTCCATTTAACTTTTGTCAAAAGATGCAATAGGTAGTTTAAAATGTTTTCATTATCTCTTCTTCAAGATCTTGTATGTCTTCTTAAAAAGTGTGGTCATGGGTGCCACAGGGTGTCTAATTGAGTCCACTTCATTGTTCCCATGGTGGTTTCAAATGACTTCAAGAAACCTAAAGTTTGTCTTCAGCTGCATTGGAATTGAAATGACTAGATGACTGTAGTGACTTAGATCTTGTGGTAGTTGTTGATTGAAAGCTTTATGTTTATCCTTTTCTTATTTTATCTAAATAAAACAGAAAGAGTAAATATGTATGCTCAGAGTCTTGGATATATTTTAGATTACCTTTGTCTCATTGGTTTTACCTAAACTATAAGATAAACTCATGTGAAACTTTATTTTTGGATATCTTTTTATAACAAGAGGAAATAAATTGGACATTTATAAGTGCCCAAATTTATAAAAATTTTAAGTTGATGTTTCAGTTTTTGAAATGGGGCCAGTTTTTACTTGGCTATTAAGTTAGGCCTTTAAAATGTAATAGAAATATTAGCTGTAGGGATTTTACATTTTATCATAAATGAAAAAGAACATCAATAAAGGGAAACATGTACCATTGATCAGATTTTACATTCTAGAATGTAAATATAAATATAATCATAACTAGCATGTGATCTGGATAGTAGAGTGAACCATTTCCTATTAAAAATAAAAGAAGACTATCTCTTTTTAAGGTTATGAGAAGACAGATGATGTATCAGAGAAGACCTCACTGGCTGACCAGGAGGAAATAAGGACTATATTTATCAACCAGCCTCAGTTAACAAAGTTCTGCAATAACCATGTGAGGTAAGAATTGCCAAGGAATGTCACAGAGCAGGCATCACAGCTGGATGTGACCATCGAAATGAAATGTCTGTAAGGAGCTTTCGACTCACTCAGTACTTGCGTCCTCCGAGCAGCGCCAGGTGGCGGTTTCTCCATCTGTCCAATAATGAAATGTTGATGAGAAGTAGGGAGGAGGAGAAAGACCCAGTACCTGTACTTAAACAGTTCTGTTTATGGTATCTGAATGTGAAAGTTGTAGTAAATCCTTTGTTGTAAACCTAGGAACAGAATAACGTATTGTTTTGGTTAGTAAGTTTTAACATTATTGGAGAGATCTTTGCAATTCTGCCCCAGGATCAACTAACTTACTTATTTACTTTCTTTTACTGAATATCCTTTAAATATTGTTTTTTAATAGGTGTGAACCTTAGTATGGTGCTGAGGGATGAAGGGTTATGACAGTTACTTCACCTCCCTATTAAGTTTTCAGTCCAACAAATCATATAAAATGCAGCCCCTTAGGCAGGTTGATGCTGCACATGCCTGAAATCCCAGCATTCAGGAGGCTGAGGCAGGAGGATCACCCTGAGTTAAAGGCCAGCCTGGAAGACGTAGTAAGACCTTCTCTCAAAAAGAAAGCCTCCCTGTCCTCACTAGTCACTAAGTGGCCTCTGGCACCATGTCAGCACTCTCACTGTTCACCAGTGGCAACATTTCCAGATCTTAGTTGTACTTATTTAAAATTAATATTTACTTCTTCAAATTCTTGAATTATGCATCTTAATTTGGGGAGTGTGACAAGTCTTCCTTTTAATCTCCCTTATATTTTCTAATCCAGAGGATCTCTCCAAGGCAGAAGTGGCCATAATCTTAGTGATAGGGGCATAATGCAGCACCCTTGCCAGGTTCCTAAAAGGTCACAAAGACAATTCAGGCCAGATTCCAGAAAATTTCCCATTTCCCTGAAATTATCCAGAAAGACATTCTACTGATAGTGTCTGGTGCTCTTCTAATTGGTAATTGTTTAGTATCATTGTGTTAGCACTCTATTTTCTCCATAGCTGTGCTTCTTTGTAAGCTGCTCCTGGTAATTTTAAGAAGAATAATTGACTAAAGAAGACAAAAGATAGCATACTGAAAAGTCATTAATTTAGCCGTGTCCTTTCACTATTTTTCATTTAAATTAATAATTCTTTGGGATATTCTCCCAATTTGAAACACTGAGCAAGTATTCATTACCTTATTTTATGTAGTGGTAACAGAATTTTGTGCATGTAAGTGCTGTTCACAAAGTAACTGAGTTTGATACTACTTTTCATTTTTGTTTTCTAGCACTGCAAAGTACAACATAATTACATTCCTCCCAAGATTTCTCTACTCTCAGTTCAGAAGAGCTGCTAATTCATTTTTTCTCTTTATTGCACTGCTTCAGGTAAAGTCACATCATAAAACCTCAATTCAAGGTCAAAGGTTCAGGTCTTACTCAGTGTTTCTGTTAAGCCCATGACTGATCTTTGAGTCTTACCTCAATGTGGAGATAACCTGCGTTTGGTAGACATTTCCAGCCACTGCTCCAAGTAGTGTGGGAATTGTTTTTTCTCTTCTCACAGTTTGATTCATGTTTTTCTAACTTACTATAAATGTTCTGTGCATTTGATATGGAAGTATTGCTCATTTGGAGCAATAAAGGAGGGTGGCACTTTTTCCTAAAATGTTAGCTCTGTTTTGAAGCAGTTAACATTAGAATGCAAAACATCATGTGAAGAGTTTGGTTTTTTTTTTTTTTTTTTTTTTGTTTTGTTTTGTTTTGTTTTTTGTTTTTTGTTTTGGTTTTGGTTTTTTGTTTTTGTGGGACCAGGGGTTGAACTCAGGACCCTGAGCCTGCCAGGCAAGGGCTTATTCTACTGAGCTATCTCCCCAGCCTCCATGTGAAGAGTGTTAACAAATGTTTTAGAAAACAAATGTCATTAAAAGTACCATATGTTCATTGTAAAAAGAAAGTTAAAAAAAAACACAGCAAAGCATAAATAAAATAATACTTCTCTTACCAGAGCTGTTAAAATTACAATGTTTGGCTCTAGTCTTTTTTCCAGCTAAGCATTATTTATTGACTTAGGTAAGAAAAAGGAATTATATAGTACATATGTTTTATAAATGGCTTTATTCATCTGATAATGTGTGGATATTTTCCTAGTTAATCATTGTACCTTTAGGATGGGGGGCACTTTGTTTTCTGTTTTGTTTTCTGCCTTCCTGGGGATGTGATGACCATGTGATCTTATGTAACTGTGCTGATGTCACCTGGCCAGTTCTCACTGTAGCCGCTAGTCTGGTGCGCGTCCTGTATGCTTATCACGCTCCTAGCACGCTCCTCTGGCCACTTGTTAGATAAGGCAAGTCACCCCACCCAGTGTTGGTCGCCCAGGACCCTGGAATCAGTGAGGCATGTGTTAGGAGACAATAAGACATTGTAGTTTCAGACTCACTGCCAACTTCCAAGTTCTCATTAGATTTCTCTTGCTTTTTTGTTTCTTCCTTCAAATAGCAAATACCTGATGTGTCACCGACAGGTCGCTATACGACACTGGTTCCTCTCTTATTTATTTTAGCTGTGGCAGCTATCAAAGAGATAATAGAAGATATTGTAAGTATTTAAATATTTTCATAAGCGTAACTAATATGTATTTTTTTTAAATATTGGTTGATTTAATTTATGGCACAGGCTACTTAAAATGTTCATTCAACTTTAAAGTATATAGAATAAAGTATATCACTTAGGTTAATTCTTACTAAGTTAACATGTTTGTGTTCTTTAATTCCTAATACTTAATAGTGTTCTCCTAAAATTTATAGTGTAATAATAAAATAAATTTAATATAATTGACATAAATAGAATACTATCTTAGAACAGTATTTTTAATTAAGTAACATAAGTTATCTAAAAATTATTTTTGCATTTTTATTTTAAATGTAAATGCCATAGTTTTCACCATATTAAATACCTTGAATAAGTTCTCATCTTATTTCAGTAGCTCTGAGTTTCCTTTCCATTTATCTTATTTTAGTGAAAGACAAAAACCTCATATTTGCTATTTTTAGCATTCTATAGTAGAAGAGAAAATGAGAAGTGAATTTCCCCTTTCTAAAATACCCCCCATCTGGGTTTTTTTTCTCTTAGATTTTACCTATTTTAAATGTCTTACTTGAGGAAGACAATGTTTGGTTGATATTTTTTGCATTCTTTTACAATTCTTTCTTACCCATTCAGAATAAACCTGTTAAGCATTTGGGCAATCAAATGGCAAGGCAATGAAAGGCTGGGAAAGTGTTAAATTTCACAAATATTAAAATTATTTGTGTTATATTATTTCATTGACATTTGTTAAGAAAAGACATGATCCATACTATCACGAGGCCCATTAGAAATGTGGCACCTGAACATTCAGATGA